AAAAAAAAAAGACTCATGAGACCGAGACAGAGTGAGAGGAACACAGCTAGAGATAATCATGCACAACAGATGTGATATGTGAACCCAAAGCTAATACAAACAAACACAAGGGTATTTCTGAAAGCAAACAGACACAAAAGGAACATCAACAGAACTGCAAGTGTTCAACACAGTCAAGGGAAGTCCTCACAATAACACGCCACACTATCAAAAAACACATGGCCCACAGAGAAAATCAGACCGGATATTCCAGACTTTATAGGATTCCAATCAGATCCAGAGAATTTTGCAATTATTACTTGTTTCACCGCACTGAGCTCCCGAGATCAATGTAGATGGACTTTATTGATCTTTAGGTCTGATCACTGATGTAGATGTAATGACTGGCTGAGGAAATGCAGACTGACCAATAAAAATACACTGTTGACTAACCAGCCACGAGTAGTCTAATTGTTCCGTTGTCACTTAAAGGGAAAATGCTGTGCGTTTAGACACAATCACAGCCTTGTTTGATCTCAGTGAACATCATGTTCTGAATGGCAAATTGTGGGGAAGATGGTTATAACATGGGGTTCGTTGTAACACTGTTAGTTTAACTAGTTTGAAATAGGTACAGAGATTAAATCTCTATGATCTATGATCATCATCCTCTGAGGTAGAGCTGAAGTTGTCTCTGCGTACAAATATCAATTATTTAAAGGACAAAACTTGATTTGGGATCAGCTTAATAAATATTATATGATAAAAATGGTATTATCAGCAGATACTCTTCATTAAATTTTAAATACTAAGCTGTTCAAACGTTTGAGGTTGGTAAGATTTTTAAAAATGTTTTTGAAAGAAGTCTCTTCTGCTCACCAAGGTTGTATGTATTTGCTGTAAAATACAGTGAAAACAGCAATATTTTGAAATATTGTTACAATGTAAAATAACGGTTTTCTATTTCAATATATTTTTATTCCTGTGATGGCAAAGCTGAATTGGAAATTATTCTAATTATTCTAATTTGAAATTTGAAACTATTCTGATATTATGATTTGGTGATCAAGAAACATTTATGATTACTATCAATATTACAATACTATCAATAACAGCTGTGCTGCGTAATATTTCTGAAGAAACTGTGATGCATTTTTACAGCATTTATTTGAGAAATAAATCTTTCGTAGCATTCTAAAACTTTTGCAACATTATACACGTCTTTTTTCACTTTTGATCCAATTTTATGCATCATTCAACCTTAAAAAAATAATCTGACCTCAAACATTTAAACAGTAATGCATTTTACTTTAACCATTTATTCTAAAAAAAAAAGTAATAAAATTGACACTCTATTAAAAAATGACAATTAACCACTTGACTGTGAAAGTGACTAACATGCACACAAACACTCAGCATCTCTTTTTATTATTATTATCATCTAATTGTTCAATAGCTTACCCAACTTGTATGCTGTTTATTGACTATTTTTTTTATCTTTTTGCATTAAATTTCATAAAAACAAAAATGAGCTGCAGTTCTGGGTTTGTTGGAGGTTTATTTAAAAAGAAATTTCAAACATATACATTTTATTAACAAAATAAATGCATATACACAATTAAATAGAAGTTGTCTAATAGAGTTACAAACCATCTCTTTTTTTGTACTTGACACTATTCGACTCGGTTAAGACCCAGGCAAGGCAAGTTTATTTATAGCACATTTCATACACAATGGTAATTCAAAGTGCTTTACATAAAAGAAAAGAAAATAATAATAAAAAAATTATCTCAACAATAAAACAAGGAATTTAAAAACTTTGAAAATTTTTGATTTAAGAAGTTTAAAATGAATTTAAGAAAACGATTATACATAGAATATAGTGCAATCAGTTCGGACATCGCACAGTGCTTATTCACTAAATGCACAGCTAAACAGATGAGTTTTGAGTCTGGGTTTAAATGTCGCTAATGTTTTAGCACATCTGATCTCTTCTGGAAGCTTGATTCCAACTGCGGGCGGCAAAATAACTAAAAGCAGACTCCCCTTGTTTTGTGTGAACCCTTGGTATTTCTAACTGACTCGATCCTAATGATCTGAGTGGTCTGTTAGGTTTATATTCAGTGAGCATATCTGCAATGTATTTAGGTCCTAGGCCATTGAGTGATTTATAAACGAGTAAAAGTACTTTAAAATCAATCCTAAATACAACTGGAAGCCAGTGTAAGGACCTGAGGACTGGTGTAATATGCTCAGATTTTCTGGTTCTAGTCAGAATCCTGGCAGCAGCGTTCTGTCTAAGAGATCTGCTTCCAAACAGTTAAGCACCCTTTTGAAAAAAGATGTGGGAAGTGCGTCAAGGTCGCAGGTTGACCATTTAAGGTGCTGTACTATTTCTTCCAAAACTACTATCAATTACTTCAAAAACAGATATAGTAACTTCTTTTTGATATTGCGGTCGAATCTGTCTGACCTCTGCATAACTTGAGGATGTGCTAATCGCCTTCCTGATATTAATGATCTTCTCAGAAAAGAAGGAAGCAAACTCATTGCATTTGATGTCGGAGAGCATTCACTGGAAATCTGACTTGGGGGGGTTTGTTAGTCTCTGGGAGTGGTCCACTGATGAACGACTGATTGAAAGAGTTCACTGAAGTCCTTCTTAAGGAGTTCTGACTGCTCTTTCCGAATATCATTCTTCCCCACATGGATGATGATTCGATTTGCAGTCTTGTGCTTCATTAGAATGATCCGAAGTTCCTTGTTCACATCAGAGACGGTTGCTTGATGAAAGCAGCATGTCGTTGTAGTCCTACTACTGATGTTTCTGATAATAGAGTCGCCCACTATCAGTGTCCTGAGCTCGGCTGCGCTCTGAGCTGAATGCAAGCTGATGGCTGATCCGATCCATGTTTAATCACATTTGGGGATTCCTCACCCGCATTCTTTAATGCTTTAAATCTGTTCTCAATACCAGTGTTTGCAAGCCTTGTCATAGCCGTATCTGGGGTAGAGGATGCTACGGCAGCAATACGAGATATTTGTGACAATCTGATGTCTCGAGTGCCTTTGGGTCTCGCTCCCTGTTTGTGCCATCGATTAGTGTGTCGATCAGTTTCGGCTTGTTCCTCTACACTTGGTATAAACTGTTGAGATTCACTGTATGCTGAAGGGGTCCGTGATGACGGTAGCAGTGTTCCACCTGTTTTGGAAGTCTAGCAAGTAACTTTGTTTCAAGAACCGCAATCCTTTGTAGAAGTCTGTGGCAGTTCAAGCAGCAAGTAGATTCCACGAGAGGCATTTTCTTTCTCGTCTGTTTGAATGTAGGCAGCTGTTTCCCGTCTCCAGAATGTAAGCTGCTGGCAGTGGGAGGCAAAGAGTCTTCTTTTTCGTAGTATTATTCCAGTCCCGAAGAGTTTTTAGTTTAGTGTTTGTGCCAAAAATGTGTTGTTTGAGCACTGTGCTGATCTGCTGAAGTTAAAATCTTAGAAAAATCTGAGGAAAGTACATAAACAGAGAGCAAAGCGCGGAGCAGTAAGCAAGAGTGTCCGAACGGTAGCGAAGCCGGAAGCAAAATGTGTGTGAACAGAGAAACTTAAACTTGCTGAAAAGCCTCGTTTGTCTTTTTGTCTGTCCCCTCTGTATTAATTGATTTACTGATTATTTTATTTTATTTGTCTACTTTTATGATTTCTTGACTGTTATGTGGCTTTTTTACTAGGCCAATTTTGCATGTTAACTTTCTTCTGTTCTTGCTCTCTCTCACACACACACACACATGCAGCGCTCTCAGTGTCCAGCAGCGCAACAGCAGTGTGCGTGTGTGTGTGTGTGTACAGGTTTATATATTCTGGTGGGGACTTAAACCTGAATACACACAGACTCATGGGGACTCGTGTCACGATGGGGACCTAAGCTTATAAATCATACAGAATTAGTTTTTTTTTTAGAAAGTAAAAATGCAGAAAGTTTCCTGTAAGGGGTAGGGTTAGTGTAGGGTTGGTGTAGGGCGATAGAAAATACGGTTTGTACAGTATAAAAACCATTACGGCTATGGAGAGTCCCCACAATTCACAAAAACAAACCTGTGTGTGTACATGTGTGTG